CCCAGCTACTTGGGAGCCTGAGGCAAGAGAATCTCTTCAGCCCAAGAGTTTGAGGTTGCTGTGAGCTGTGATGCCACAGCACTCTACTGAGGGCATCATAATGAGACTTTGTCTCAAAAATAAATAAATAAAAAATAAAATAAAAATAAAGAATTAGGTAAATAAAACTGACCTGTGTTGATTTCTGTTTACAACCTTAATATTTCCTTATTTCACCTTCTTCAATGGTACCTACTGACAGACTAATTTCATGGACACTTTGATGCGTTAACTTTTTATTTTCATTTTTTTTTTTTAAGACAGAACCTCAAGCTGTCGCCCTGGGTAGAGTGTCATGCCATCACAGCTCACAGCAACCTCCAACTCCTGGGCTCAAGCAATTCTCCTGCTTCCACCTCCCAAGTAGCTGGGACTACAGGCACCCACCACAACGCCCAGCTACTTTTTGGATGAAGCTGTCATTGTTGTTTGGCGGGCCTGAGCTGGATTCAAACCTGTCAGCTCAGGTATGTGGCTGGTACCTTAGCCACCTGAGCCACAGTCACCGAACCTGATGTGTTAACTTTTTAATTTTTTTTTGAGACAGAGTCTCACTCTGTCACCCTGGGTAGAGTGCTGTGGTATCATAGCTCACAGCAACCTCAAACTTCTGGGCTCAAGACTTCCTTTTTCCTCAGTCTCTTAAGTAGCTGGGACTACAGCTGCTTACCACAATGCTTGGCTAATTTTTCTTTTTCTTTTTTTTTCCAGTTTTTTGGGTGGGGCTGGCTGGTTCACCTGCCACCCCTAGTATATGGGGCCGGTGCCCTACTCCTGGAGCCACAGGTGCCACCCTAATTTTTCTATTTCTAACAGAAATAGGATCTCACTCTTTTTTTTTTTTTTTGAGACAGAACCTCAAGTTCTTCCCCTGGGTAGAGTGCCATGGCATCACAGCTCACAGCAACCTCAACTCCTGGGCTTAAGCGAGTCTCTTGCCTTAGCCTCCCAAGTAGCTGGGACTACAAGCACCCACCACAACGCCTGGCTATTTTTTGGTTGCAGCCATCATTCTTGTTTGGCGGGCCCAGGCTGGATTCAAACCCGGCACCTTACGTGTATGTGGCTGGCGCCTTAGCCGCTTGAGCCACAGGCGCCGAGCCAGGATCTCACTCTTGCTCAGGCTGGTTTGAAACTCCTAGGCTCAGGTGATCCACCCACCCATTACCCAGAGTGCTAGGATTCCAGGAGCGAGCTGCTGTGCCCAGCCCCTTGTAAAAATCTACTCACCTACTTTTGTGAAGTTCTGTTCATAGGATGAACTTAAGATACGTACCGTGCAGCTCTTGTACAGTGAGATGGCTGGAAAGTAAACCCCCTCAAAAATATCTTTGTAAGCCACACCTTGATTGACACCATTTTTATAAAATATTATCTGAAACAAAAACCATGATTTTACTTCAAAACTTACAAAAAAACAAATGAACAAAAAATACTCCCTCAGAAAACACATTATAGGTGCTGCTACCAGACTGGTATCCCAAGAACAGCACAAAGCATGTGTAATAATAATATTTTAAAATTATTTACTATTTTAGATTGTCTTTTCTTTTTCTTTGGACCGAGTCTCAAGCTGTTGCCCTGGGTAGAGTACCGTGGCATCACAGCCCACAGCAACCTCGAACTCTTGGGCTTAAGTGATTCTCTTGCCTCAGCCTCTCAAGTAGCTGGGATTATAGGCGCCCGCCACAATGGCCAGGTATTTTCTGGTTGTAGTTGTCATTCATGTTTTGTGGGCCTGGGCTGGCTTGGAATCGCCAGCTCTGGTGTACGTGGCTGGCACTTTAGCCGCCTGAGCCAGTCGCCAATAGTTTAGATTTTCAAAACATGTTTAAATGCACTATTCCAATTGGACCTTGGATTTCTTATTTGCTTTCTTAGTTTCTACGCTACACATACCAAGCAGTTCTACATCCTATTATTCACTACACTGTACTTAGGAAAAGCCAGCCAGCCAGCCATGGCGTCCTTGGAACTCTGCCCGTATTGATCACTTGTCCTTACACCAACTATGCTTTTGAAGTTCTGTTAGAATGTTCTGTCTCGGTCTCTGAATCCTCATTTTCTTTGTCCTTTCTCTCCCATAGTTATAGTGAATGTTCTCCTTATCACTATATATTTGGTCTGGAGGAAAGGCTCCTTTTTCTTCCTAAGAATGATCTTCTCCCTGGCTCTATTTTCTGGATCTGTCATCCTTTGATCTATGAATCGTTTCCCTTTACTGTCCTCCCAGCCTGTCCCCCCTACAAAACCCAACCCAACTCTATTTCTCCTGTATTCCCTCCTATTACTGTACCAGGTGGCTGTACAGCATTTTTATGAAAAAAATGTTGCTAGCTCAGAATTTTCTCCCTGCTTTTTTTTGAGACAGAGCCTCAAGCTGTTGCCCTGGGTACAGTGCTGTGACGTCACTGCTCATAGCAACCTCCAACTCCTAGGCTTAAGCGATTCTCTTGCCTCAACTTCCCACGTAGCTGGGACCACAGGTGCCTACCACAAAGCCCGGCTATTTCCTGGCTGTAGTTGTCATTGTTGTTTGGTAGGCCCAGGCTGGATTCGAACCCGCCAGATCTGGTGTATGTGGCTGGCACCTTAGTCTCTTGAGCTACAGGCACCGAGTCTCTCCCTGCTTTTATTTGTGACCCCTGTGGCTGGCCCAGACGTGCCAGCCCTTTCTTTGATTGTGCTTTGACCTTGGGCAGACATGTTCCAAACAACTCTCAGAAGGGGAGCAGGGAAAGTCCTGGAGGACTCTGAGGGTCTCCCCTCCTACTCCAGTGCTCCTCCCCTGTACTGCACACCTCCTCTGACATGGAATAAAGACGAGTGACTTGCTACCTCTCTCTTGTGGATTTCCTCATCAGGCCACTGTTCTTACACCCTTTCTCCAGAGGTCCTGAAGGAGCAGGTCCCTCCAAGAGCAGTGGCAGGGAACCAGAGAAGGAGCACAGAACGGGGGGAGGAGAGTGACCCTGCCCTCCTGGCAACCTCTTTCACCATGAAATCCTTTCAATTCCCTCTGGGCTGCATTTTTCTCACTTTTATAATTAACATGCGGGTCCTAATCTTTAAGCCTTATAATTCTGATGTTTTTATGACAACAACTCACCTCACTATGAGGAGTCTGCTTTAGGCTCTTCTCTGCTTTATCCACAAAGTCTTTTTCTTCAAAATACAAATAACTCTTGAACTTTATTAAAGCCTTGAAAATCAAGGGGGAAAAAAAAAGACATAGTTAAGTATCAGCTGCATTATAACAAGGGAAAAAAACAGCCAGACTCACACAAATAGCACTGATCCCACAACAGAAATTAAAAATCTTTGCAATTTAGCTCCCCTAGATTTTGTTTTATTTATTTATTTTTTGAGAAAGAATCTCACTCTGTGCCCTGGAGTTGAGTACTGTGGAGTCACAGCTCACAGCAACTTCAAACTCTTGGTTTCCAGCAATCTTCAAGCCCCAGCCTCCCAAGTAGCTGAGATGCCCGGCTATTTTTAGAGACAGATCTCACTCTTGCTCAGGCTGGTCTCAAATTCCTGAGTTCAGGCAATCCACGCACCTGGGTCTCTCAGAGTGCTGGGATTACAGATACGAGCCACTGTACCGGCCTCTATAAAAGCATTTTGAGAGTCACTTTGTTTCCCCCATGGGTGGTCTCTGGATCACCTACTTTGTGCTGCTTCCCGAATCTGTTTAACTATTCACTCCCAGTTAAATATATGACATTAATTTTTAAAGTTTTAATTCCTTAGACATAGGGCAGCACCTGTGGTTCAGTGGGGAGGGTGCCAGCCCCATATACTGAGGGTGGTGTTGAAACCTAGCCCCAGTAAAACTGCAACAAAAAAACAGCCAGGACTTGTGGCGGCAGGCACCTGTAGTCCCAGCTACTCGGGAGGCCAAGGCAAGAGAATTGCATAAGCCCAGGAGTTGGAAGTTGCTGTGAGCTGTGTGACACCATGGCACTCTACCAAGGGCGATAAAGTGAGACTCTGTCTCTACCAAAGAAAAAAAAACTTCTTAGACATACACACACACACACACTCTCATAAGATATACAGATAGACAAGGAGGAGTCTCCCTCTACCCGCCCCTCATCCCCAGTTTCCCTTGCAAAAGCAAGCACTATTCCAGAGTCCTGGTATCCTTCCAGAAAAGCAGGCATATAAAATCTTCAAAATTAAAAAACAAATAAAAAATATACATTAAGTAAATACACAAAACAAGCAAGAAAAGTCATACAAATGGTGACACATTATAAATTTTGTTTTGTATCTTGAGGCTTTCACTCAAAAATGTTCTATTAGAGGTCATTTTATACCAGCACATATGGAGCTTTCAGACAGATCCATAGTGTTCTGTTGTATGGACCTATTACTAGCAAATTGTTTATTTAAATTAAAAACACATTTTTATAATATAATTGAAAAAGTAAATAACTAAGAAAATTCCTGCAGCATCCTTTGAGGTGACTGCAGACCACCATGTTCTGTAAAACCAGGCATTTAGGAGTTCTAGATGGAAAGAGATGAGAGTCCATGGCGTGACACATCAATGAAAATGAGATCGAGCCAGGCTGCTTATCATCTGAATTTAAAGGATC